AAGAAACCTCGGCAAAGAGGAACCTGATATACAAAGTATTGTTGGGTCCCCCCAAAACTGGATACCCCAATAATGGGTCCATGATTAAAGGATCGAGACTGATACAAAGCGAAGGTCAAGCAAAGCTTTATTTCGCGCCAAGCATCAGGAATCAGACCTACTGTCAAAAAGACCGGTCGCGGCCGCCCCTACAGAGAGGACAACCCCTCCCTGCTTTCCAGACTAACTTTTATAGAGCAAAGGCCATGTGGTTGGGCCTGGCCACGCACAGGTGGCCAATGAGATTGTAACACACACAGGAAACTCCACAGAGATGCTAGGTGACCAATTGAATTACAATTTACCCTAGTAGACATTTGATTTAGCCTATCACACCTTGGTTAGGATTGGCACCAAAAGGCTCCCAAAGGGCGGGGGCCATACTCCTTGGTAGCTAGGAGACAGTATGCGCCCCCACTGATTGAATAACTCCACCTGGCCTGACCCACCCTTGTATTTGGACTTTGTTACCTGGGACTGGTTTCCTGGACTTGCTTTTAAATAAGTTCCCCTGGCGGGGGTGGGGGGGGGGGGGGGTGAGGGGGGGGCAAGGTCAATTTAAGCTTTACAGCATGATGGCAGTTCAACCGGGGTGGGGCTGCTCTGGCTGAACAGGCCCTTACAGTATCCTTCACTGAACTCTTAACTCCTTAAGAACAGAAGCCCAAGCGGAGCCTGGGTGGCTCAGTCCGTTAAATGTATGCTTTGGGCTCTGGTCATGATCGCAGGACCGAATCCCGCATTGAGCTACTTGCTCAGTGGGGAGGCTGCTGCTTCTCTGCCTGCTGCTCCCCCTGCTTCTGCTCTCTCTGACAAATAAATAAAACCTTTGAAAAACAAAAGAACAGAAGCCCAACTATAAAAGGCTTAATAAGGCAAAGTTATGCCTTAAAATAAGCACACTAGCAAGGGAATTATTCTGGGAGAGGTTAATTTGGTGAGACGTTTCTGGTTTGGGTTTCTGTCCCCATGTTTTAATAAAACCATTTTGCACCAAAAACGTCTTGAGAATTCTTTCTTGGCCATTGGTTCCGGACCTCACCCCACAGAACCTCATCTGTATTCCAAAACACATTAAGCCACTCCTGGCAACCACTTTTCTACTTCCTGTTTCTGAGTTTGACTTTTTGTGTAGATTTCATATATAAGTGATTAACTCTGCAGTATTTGTTTTTCTCTGTCTGGCTTATTTTACTTAGCACAATGTCCTCAAGGCCCATCCACGTTGACACAACAGCAGGATTTCCTTCTTTCTGGATGGACAGTTAGGTTGTTCCGTATCTTGACTATTGGGAGTAATCCTGAAAGGAACATCGGAGTGCAGATACCTCTTCCAACATCCTCTTTCAGTGTTTTAAAACTATATCCCCTGAAGTGAGATTGCTGGTTTATATGATTGCCAGTTCTAATTTCTTAAGGAACTTTCATACTTCTTTCTGTCATGTTAGTTTCTTTTCATCTGTCTGCTCTGCTGTCCTGGCTTGCTCTCTGCAGCTGGTTCCCCTCATGGTCATGAAAGGTGACTGCCGCAGTACCAGGCATGACACGAAGATTCGACAATATGAGGGATGAAGAGAGACCACTGCTACTATGTGTATGTTTTCTGTCACCAGAAAAACTTTCTTCCCAGTCACAAAAGGACAAATAGTATACAATTCCACTTATTTCAGGACTTGGAGGATTTAAATTCATAGGGACAAAAACTAGAATGGTGGTTTCAGGGACTGAGGGGGAGAATGTGGAGCTGGTATTTATTTATTTATTTATTTATTAAAGATTTTTATTTATTTATTTGACAGGCAGAGATCACAAGTAGGCAGAGAGGCAGGCAGAGAGAGGAAGGAAAGCAGGCTCCCCGCTGTGCAGAGAGCCCGACGCGGGGCTCGATCCCAGGACCCTGGGACCATGACCCGAGCCGAAGGCAGCGGCTTAACCCACTGAGCCACCCAGGCGCCCCTGGAGCTGGTATTTAATGGGTATAGAGTTTCAGCTGGGGAGGATGAAAATGTTCTGGAGAAGGCTGGTGGTGATGGCTGGGCCACAGGATAAACATGCTTAACACCACAGAGCCATACACTTCAAATAGTAAAAAGTGGCTGAGTTTTGTTTTTTTGTTTTAAGATTTTATTTTCTCGGGGGCACCTGGGTGGCTCAGTAGTTAAGCAAGTGCCTTCAGCTCAGGTCAGGATCCCGAGGTCCTGGGATCGAGCCCCATGGTAGGCTCTCTGCTTCTCCTTCTCCCTCTGCTTCTCCCCCTGCTTGTGCTCTCTCTGTGTCAAATAAATAAATGATTTTATTAAGATCTTATTAAATGTTGTTGTTTCCTCACATGAATTTTTTTTTTAAAGATTTTATTTATTTGACAGAGAACACAAGTAGGCAGAGAGACAAGCAGACAGAGAGGAGGAAGCAGGCTCCCCGCTGAGCAGAGAGCCTGCCGCGGGGCTCAATCCCAGGACCCCAGGATCATGACCCGAGCCGAAGGCATAGGCTTTAACCCACTGAGCCACCCAGGTGCCCCCTCACATGAATTTTTTGCTTAAAGCATATCCACCTATTGTTTCCTGACCACATCATCTACTTTGCCTTTGTGATTTTGCTCACAAAGATGAGGGAACAGGGCACCTGGGTGGCTCAGTGGGTTAAGCCGCTGCCTTTGGCTCAGGTCATGATCTCAGAGTCCTGGGATCGAGTCCCGCATCGGGCTCTCTGCTCATCAGGGAGCCTGCTTCCCTCTCTCTCTCTGCCTGCCTCTCTACTTGTGATCTCTGTCTGTCAAATAAATAAATAAAATCTTAAAAAAAAAATGAGGGAACAGAAGGCTGGCTGAGAACAAAGCAAAAGGCTGACACCCTGAAACCTTCCCCCACTCCCATTCCTGGGAGGGACATATTGTGACATTCTTTAGGAGTCTCCCAACTATCTTGATGTTAATACCTTGCTAGAGAAAAAACCTTGACAATGACCTCAAGGCCTCAAGGCATCCGGTATCTTACAGGTCCTCTTTAGCATTTGAAGGTTCTATTGAAACCTCCCTTTTTCCTTACCGCCTCGAACCCAGTAGTATATAACCTGCCACCCCTCACAACCCCAGGGCCGCAGCTCTTTCTACCCATGGGTCCTGTCCCTGTGCTTTAATAAACCACCACTTTGCACCAAAGAGGTCTCAAGAATTCTTTTTTCTTTTTTTAAGATTTTATTTATTTATTTGACAGAGAGAGATTGCAGGTAGGCAAAGAGAGAGAGGAGGAAGCAGGCTTCCTGCTGAGCAGAAAGCCAGATGCGGCTTGATCCCAGGACCCTGGAACCACGACCCGAGCGGAAGGCAGAGGTTTTAACCCACTGAGCCACGCAGGTGCCCCTCAAGAATTCTTTCTTGGTCTTCGCCTCTGGACCTCACCCCACTGAACCTCACCTATTTTTTTTTTAAGATTTTATTTATTTATTTGACAGACAGATCACAAGTAGAGAGACAAGCAGAGAGAGAGGAGGAAGCAGGCTCCTTGCTGAGTGGAGAGCCCGATGTGGGGCTCGATAATCAAAGACCTACTTTTCCTTTAAGGCTAAGCTCAACTTCTACCTTCAATGTTAGCATTTCTCAATTATCCAAGGATTTAGTGACGTTGGGTCCATGGTCAAAGGAGCAAGACTGATACAAAGCAAAGGTCAAGCAAATCTTTATTTCGTGCCAAACATCGAGAATCAAAACGACCGGCCAGGGCTGTCTCTTGCAAAGAGGCGACCACTCTCTGCCTTACAAACCAGCTTTTAAGGGCAAAGGCCATGTGGTTGGGCCTGGCCACGCACCGGTGGCCAATGAGATTGTAACACAGAGAAAGCTGCACAGTCCTGCTAGGTCACACATAAGTGACCAACTGAATTACAATTAACCCTATGGTAGATATTTGAACTAGCCTATCACCTTGGTCAGAATGGGCACCCAAAAGGCACCCAAAGGGCGGGGCCCATACTCCTTGGTAGCTAGGAGACAGTATGCGCCCCCACTGATTGGATACCTCCACCTGGCCTGACCCACCCTTGTATTGGGCTTTGTTAACCTGGGACTAGTTTCCAGGACTTGTTTTTAAGTAAGTTCCCTGGGGGGGGTGGGGGTGGGGAACAGGGTCAGGATGGAGCTGCTCTGGCTAAATAGGCCCTTACAGTGACTTACTCTAATCTATGATTTTTATGGTCTGTACCTATTTGGTGCACAACCTTTTATATGCATATTCTTTTTAAGTGTATGTCCTGCCTTCCCAATTAGAGTTTAAACACATTGAATTCAGGGGTCCTGTTTTAGGTCGGTTTTTATTTTGTTACGTATTTATGTACCTACATATATATGTATGTATGTACGTATGTATTTATTTTTAAGGATTTTATTTGTTTGAGGGAGAGAAAGAGCATGCCAGCAGGGTGAGGGGCAGAGGGAGAAGCAGACTCCCCACTGAGCAGGGAGCCTGATGCAGGGCTCCATTCTGGAACTCCCAGATCATGACCTGAATGGAAGGCAGACCCTTAACCAACCAAGCCATCCAGGAACTCCTGCTTTTATTTTCAATACTTAATCTAATACTAGAAACTCTCAATGAATATTTATTATTTTTTGAGGATGATTAGATTTTTAGCATTGATATAATACTACATATAAGGTCAGGGATGTCTTTAAACTTAATTTAAGATTATAGTTGAATAATTAAGCTGTTAAAATTTGAGAGTAATATTTCCATCAAATTTAATCCTTGTATATATCCATATATACATTTACTGGAATACACCCAGAGCCATGATTACATCTTGTTTGTTGATGTACTATGGCTCACTTTACAAAAGCAAATATTACAGTGCGTTCTAGGACACCTGTGCTCACACGATGAGTTCTTTGAAACTATATTTGGATATACAAGCTATTAAAAGCTTCTTGTACTGAGTGACCTTTCAGACAGAATTTAGATCAAATACTCATCCTGCTGCTGCCTGTTGCTGAGTGGAAGACAACAGAAAACCCTGGATTCAAACCTCCACTAGGTTTTTGTTTTCCTTGTTTTGTTTCCTTTCATTTTGCCTTGAGAAGATGACCAGCGAAACCACAACTCTGATATCCTTGAAGGAGGCGATGAAAAGGTTCCTAAGGGCTCCAGGGAGGGAGCAAGCATTGTCTGCTTTAATGGGAAGATGGGTAAGAGAAGAATAAAGAATAAAAACAGGCAAAGAACTATAGATATGCTAATTAGAATTCTATCTCTGTTTAAAGTAGTTTAAGTTTAAACCACTTTATATTTTTTAACCAGGTTAAAAAATATAAATTAATAATAAAAATTATTTCCATTCCAGGTGAATTCATTCAATTAATGCATGTGCTATATTCTAGGTATACAAAATAAGTAAAACATGTTTTCTGTCCTCAAGGAGTTCAAAGCCTATAGGGAGAACATTAGTATTCAAAAATACTAGAATTTAATGTGATTTTCCTAAAGAGCCCTGAGGACAGGAAGAAAGGATCAATTAATTTGCCTTTTATACTCGGAAAAGGAACCATTTATAGAGAGACATTTAAGTTAGATCTTAAAGTGTGAGTAAAGGGTTATGAGAAAGAAAAATATGGGAAGGAATTCTGGGGTGAGGTAAAGTATATGGAAGCCACAGACGCCTGGAATCCCATGCTCTTTTCAGTCAGCTGCTAGATGTCTCACGTGATTAGTGACTAGTCTATGAAAGGACGGGCAGAAGATAGGAGCAAAGGTTAAAGGTTTTATGTTTATCCTCCTGAAGATACCCAGTTTGGCCATAACTGTATCAATGGGCAACATGGATAATCGGTTGAGTTACATGAACAGAATTATGTTTCAGAAGCACATTTCTAGGGATGCCTGGGTGGCTCAGTCAGTTAAGTGTCTGCCTTCGGCTCAGGTCATGATCCCTAGGTCTTGGAATTGAGTCCCACATTGGGCTCCTTGCTCAGTGGGGAGGCTGCTTCTTCCTCTGCCTGCCCCTCCCCCGCTTGTGCTTTTTCTCCTTCTTTCTCTCTCTCTCACTGACGAATAAATAAATTAAAAAAAATTTTTTTTAAAGCAACATATTGGGGTGTCTGGGTGGCTCAGTCGGTTAAGTGTCCACCTTAAGCTCAGGTCATGATCCCAGAGTCCTGGGATGGAGTCCTGCATGCATCAGGCTCCCTACTTCTCCCTCTCCTCTCTGCTCCTCCTCTCTCTTTCTCTTAAATAAATAATAAAGTCTTTAAAAAATGGCAGCAGCATATTTCTAGAGGATGGATTAGTAGTAGCAGAAATTGAAAGCAAGGATTCAGTTAGGCTACTGCAATCCTAGGTCAAAGTGAAAGATAGTCATTAACTGGCTTAGTGGTGATAGAGAGGAAGGGATAATTTAGAGGCATTAATAAAGAGGGAGGAAAAAAAGGTAAAAATTATTCTGAGATTTTTAGTTCAAGTAATTGAATAGATGGTGGTATCACTAATCTGGGGAATTGTAGAAAACAGACTTGAATTTGCAGACATGTGGTTTAGGATTTATTTGGAATGGTGTGGGAATGCTTTTTGGTGAGAGGCTTCCAAAAAACTGTTAACAATTGTGAACTTTTACACTGACTTGACAAGCTAGAGATGACCTACAAACAACATAGTCTTAAAGGTGTCAAAGTTAATACAAAACAGTATGCCAGATGACATTGCAAAACACCAAACATTTCATAGTGGGCCTTATCTGTATGTAAACAAAATATCCTGAACAGTGAGAAGATTCCACCATAGTAATTTCTGATGATGGGGGTGTGGGATAGTTGGCCTCTCAGTTTAGGACAGTTGAGTTTGACATCTCCACCCAGGTGGAGATGCACAAAACATAAAGATATGGGTCTAGAGCTTAGTAGAGATGTGATACCTGAAGCTGAATTAGCCTTAAGATAAAGTGAGGACCAAGAAGAAAAGATGGTAAAGGACAGAACCTGGATATAGAAGAACTGGGACATAGAAGCTCAGGGACGTGGTATGTATATTAGTGTATCACTTCTTTCATGAAAAAAAAAATGTGGGGTCCTTCAGGCAGCTGAGTTGTGTTGTTTCAGTTCTCTGTGACTCAGTTTGACATAATTCTGGTGCCACAGCGCCCCCTGATGATTAAGGCTGTTTAGAGCTACCCAAATGCCCATGCGAGGTTACGCAGCTCAGCAACTCATCCGCATCAGGGACATGGATCATATGAGATGTATTTTATTAGTTCTGTCTAAGGCCTTTTCTAGATATTAGGGAATAGGTGTAAAGATGTCCCAGAAATAGTCTCTTTTTTTTTCAATTTTTTTTCTAATGTATTTATTTGACAGGGAGAGGGACACAAGCAGGGAGAGTGGGAGAAGGAGAAGCAGACTTCCCACTGAGCAGAGAGCCTGATGTGGGGCTCAATCCCAGGACTCTGGGATCCTGACCGGAGCCAAAGGCAGACGCTTAATTACTGAGCGACCCAGAAATAGTCACTCTGGGTGACTATTTCTCACCCGGAGAAATAGTCTCTGATTCCCTCCCTCAAACAGCTTACAATTTCATTCATGAAATGCTACCTCTAAAAATAAAGCAGGAGGTGGGGAGTGACAGGTAGTAGAGGCAGTCCCTGTGAAAATTAAGTCTTTGGCTGGATGATCTCCGGGCAGAAAGGCTAGCGGATTCAAACAAACAGTGGAAAGTGAGCTTATCCTTGAAGGTAGGATAGGATTTGGGCAGTCAGAGTAGAGTAGAGAAATGTACCTTATTAAATACAGGTCCCAGCACTGGCTAGCTATGACACTGGGTCTCAATCTCTTGGAGACTCAATTTTTTTATCTGTTAAGTTTATTTATTTTTTTTAGTAATCTCTATGCCCATGTAGGGCTTGAACTCATGACACGGGGATCAAAAGTCCCACGCTCTTCTGACTGAGCCCACCAGGCACCCTTCAGTTTCTTTATCAGTAGAATGATAAAAATGACTGCTTCACTTCTTATGGCTGTTGTGAAAATAAGAGTAATGCTTGTATTTAAAGTACTTCTTTCTTTAAAGTAGGCTCTATGCCCAGTGTGGGTCTTGAACTCAAGACCCTGAGATTGAGAGTTACAGGCTCCATTGACTTAGCCAGACAGGCGCCCCTAAAATACTTCTGAAAGTATAAAGTACAATACAAAATCAAGAGGTGGCAGATAATTCAAGTAATTAGACCATTAAAAGTTTGGCAATATAAGGAACATAGGAATTAGGATGATGGCTAAAGAGAATGGCAAATAAGAATATCTATCCATCATCTTAAATTTAAATAGCTACCCCAATTAATAGTGATTATAAACAATACATTAGAGCTTTAAGGCAAAACCTTAGTTTTGTCCCTTGTCCTAAAGTCTCCCTTGATTCTTTTATCCTATAGAGTAGACCACAAACTCCAAGGTTTAGAAGCACAGTTTAAAGAAATGGGTTTCACCAAGGATAGTCTGACCCAGAGATTTGAACAGCACAGCAAGGCTTTGGCAAGCCAGGCAGCCCAGGATGAGCTGTGGAGAGCAGTTCTGGCCCCCAAGTGAGTATGCAGTGAGAAATTGGTGGAATTTCATGGCTTTGTGAGAGCTTGCAGCAGTCATTCTAAACTTGAATTTCAATGGATTGTGAAAAAATGCTATTTTCTGAGGTCAATTCATTCAAAAAAGTTTAACTTGAGCAGCCGTTCATATGCCAGTACTGTCATATACATCTTGTCACAGTGTCTCTTGTTTGCCAATGTCTTGCTTAACACAGAGATGGGTGATGTAAGTCCTCTGCTTTTGAGAAATGTGTAGTATGAATGGCCTGAGAACTAAGCTATCCTGTATAGTGCAGGTCCTAGTTCTAAAATATTTTCTAAAATACTTTCTAAAATGGTTCTTCTCGTGGGTTTGTATCCAAGTAGAATTCTTTTGTTTTTTTGTTTGTGCAGAAAGAGTTCTACTGATTAAGAAGCTCTCCACATTTTTTGTAGATTCACTTCAATGGAACTGAATATTTTATACAGCTACGTCACTGAAGTTCTCATCTGCTTGCACATTCGTGTGCTTGACAAGCTACCAGACCTGGTGCGAGGTCTTCCCACCTTAACCTCTATTCTGAGACGAAAAGTCAAGAACCAGCGCGTTGGAGTTGTGTGGGAGTCTGTCCTGGAGGAGTGTGGGCTGCAAGAAGAAGATATCACAGCCCTTTGTACCTTCTTTATTGCCCATGGCCACAGGGCAGAATACTATGGTGCTAAAGTGAGGCAGATGTATATCAGGGATGTCACTTTCCTAATCACTAACATGGTAAAGAATCAGGCTCTGCAGGATGGTTTACTGAAGGCTGTTCAGATCATTGAGAAGGGGAAAGCAGTGAGGGCCCCCGAAGAGCAAAAGTCATCGCTAAAAGAGTTGCTACCACCAGTCAGAAACTAATTTTGATGACCAAGAGACTCTACTTCTAGGAATTTATCTTGCAAATGGGGGGAAAAGATGCATGTACAATTTATTACAGGCTTATTTTTATAACAAAAGTGAGGGAAGCCTTAAATATGATAAATTGATACAATGGATACTTTTTCTGTAGCAATATTAGAGAATGAAGAAGTTCTTTGTGTAACTGTAAAATGATATGGAGTTATCACCAAGATGTATTGTTTTCAAATATTTCCTATATATTGTGAAGTAGGAAAAAAGGGCAAAAACAAATACACACACACACACACACACACAGACACACAAGCTAATATATCCACAAAATTCATAAACTGTTTCTGGAGAGATATATTAGAAAGTAAGAACGTTGGTTGTGTCAGGAGGAAAAACGAAGAGGCTAGGGGTCAAAAGTAGGAGGAATTATTTTCACTGTTACTCCATTTTGTAAATTTTTGAATTTTGAGCCATGTGAATGTACTGCATACTAAAAGACAAAAAAACAACAATAAAAACACCTAATATTTATTGTATGTTGTGCATTTTTTTCTCTGGTACACTACCATAGTTATTTTACACAGGAAATGGAACTCTTGCACATTGACTATATATTAAAATATTTACTGGGCCACCTGGCTGGCTTGGTTGATAAGAGCATATGATTCTTGATCCTCAGAGTTGTAGGTTCGAGCCCCACATTGGATACAGAAATTACTTAAAAATAAAATCTAAAAATTTTTTAAAAAATTTATTGAACACCAAATGCCATGTACCAGGTGATGTGAATAGCAGAAACATTTGAAAATGCAGATCCCATCTTCCAGGTAAAGGTTAAATGCTTATGCTTTATTTGAGACGTACAGATTCAGATTAACCAAAATGAGGTGACACTCTGGAAGGAGTTAGGCAGAGGATTCGAAGTAATACAATATGATGTGTTACCTTGCTGGTCCCTCTTTGAAAATGAGCCATGAGACACAGCAGCTTGCTTGGTAGATGAATGCACTCAGTCTTGGAGCATCTGGTTGGCTCAGTCAGTAGAGCATTTGACTCTCCATCTCAAGGTTGTAAGTTTGAGCCCCATTTTGGGTGCAGAGATTACTCAAAAATAACATCTTGGAAAAAAAAAATGCAGTCTTGACCTCTCCAGACACACTGTTTGGAGAAACCATGCCTTGGAAGGAAGATGGAAAGGGCATTTTTCTGTCATGCTCACTTAGTCTACTGTTTTCAGTTGGCTGACATTTGTTCCATAGAGAGTGACCCCTCCCTCCCCCCCAATACTTCCAGGATGCATCATTTAAGCCCTCCCAGCAGCCAGTGAGAAGCCAGTAACTGCCTTGCTCAGTGCAGTGCTTTACTGGAATTCCAAAGTGAAGGAAGAGATTCTAGAAATGCAATAGGTCAGCCTCAGGCAGAGCAAGGGACTGTGGGTCCAGAAAGTGAACAAGGCCAAGGAAATCTAAGGAAGCATATTACATAAACATAAATATCTGAACATAGAAATCAAAATGCAAGAGTTACATAATAAGACTACAAAAAACCCACTATCACTAAGCAATACATGACAGGGTGAGTTCAGAGGAGGGTTATCACTGTGTGAGAGAAATACTTCCAGGAGGAAGCATACTGAATTGATCCTTCAAGTAGGCAAAACAACAAAATAAGACATTAGGATGAATTAAGATTTCAAACTATGGCCTGAAAGCACAAGATCTGGATGCCAGTGACTAGATCAGAGTTGAATGTTTTAAAAAATAATGGGAGAAGGGCAACTGGGTGGCTCAGTCAGTTGGGTGTCCATTTCTTGGTTTTAGCTCAGGTCATGATCTTGGGATCGTGGGATCCAGGCTCAAATTGGGCTCCACGCTCAGCACAGAGTCGGCTTGAGTTTCTCTCCTCTCTTGTGCCCATCCCTACTGCACTCTCGATCTCTCAAATAAATAAATAAATCTTAAGAAAAAAAAAAAAAGAATAATGGGATATTCCACAGGGAAAAGAAAGTTGGAACCATATTAGGGAGCCTAAAATTTTAGGCTCAGGTGTTGATATCATGGACAAGTAGATGACAACCAAAGGTTTCCAAATTCACATTAAAACAAAACAAAAGCTCCCAAAATGTTCTACCAAGGGCCCACACCTCTTTGCTTTGGCTCCATCTAGAAACCATCTGGCCAACTTCCATGGCCTCAGCAAACCCAAAAGACCTTAAAGACTTATTCATGCAGTGATTTTTTTCTCTTCCTTTACATCTAAGTAACATTTCCTCAAAAAACTCAGGCCTGCTTTTCAAAAAAATTTCTTATTGTGATAAAATACATACAACATAAAATTTACCCTCTTAACCACTTTTAAGTGGACAGTTCAGGGTAGTATATACATTCATAATATTGTGCAACCATCACTACCATCCATCTGAAAATAAACTCTGTACCCATTAAACAATAACTCTCCTGGCCCTTGGCAACCATCATTCTATTTTCTGTCTCTTGGCTTTGTTCTGAAGTACTAGGGATTGGTCTATTTAATCCCTGTGGTTTTTCTAGCCAAAACCTACTTTTTTTTAAATTAAAAAAAAATTTAAGTACTCTTTACACCCAATGTGGGGCTCATGCTCATATGAGATCAAGAGCCACATGATCCACCTACTGAGCCAGCCAGGCATCCCAAAACCTACTTTTATCATAGAATTCAAAACAGTAGGATCAGGTGTCAGGACAAGAACTTAGTATCAAAGTGAAAAAACTTATTTCAGAATGCATAAAATGTTAAAATATTTTTTCACTTCCTTTGTAATTTTGATTGTTCTAGATTGAAATTTAATAATACAGGAGTTCATCACAAATGATGCACATGACTGCTAAACCCCAGGATTGAGGCACCCTGTAGTTTGTTTTCTAAGCCCTATGAAACTGCTATGGAAATGAACGGATGTTTTTAAAAGGATTATCCACCACAACCAAGTGGGATTTATTCCTGGGCTGAAACGTTGGTCCAACATCTGCAAATCAATCAATGTCATACACTATATAAATAAAAGGACAGACAAGAACCATATGATCCTCTCGGTAGATGCAGAAAAAGCATTTGATAAAGCATAACATTCTTTCTTGATTAAAGCTCTTCACGGTGGGATGCCTGGGTAGCTCAGTCGGTTAAGCATCTGCCTTCAGCTCAGGTCATGATCCCAAGGTTCTGGGATCAAGAGTCCTGCATCGGGCTCCCTGTTCAGTGGGGAGTCTGCTTCTCCCTCTGCCTGCCGCTCTCTGTGCTCTCCCTGTCTCTTACAAATATACAAAAAACTTGTGCTCGCTTCAGCAGCACATATACAAATATACAAAAACCTTAAAAAAAAAAAACCCACCAAAAAACCAACTCTTCACAGTGTAGGGGTAGAGAGGTACACACCTCAATTTCATAAGAGCCATTTATGATAAACCCACAGCCAGTATCATTCTCAATGGGGAAAAACTAAGAGCTTTTCCTCTACAGACAGCAACATGGCAGGGATGTCCACTATCACCACTGCTGTTCAATATAGTACTAGAAGTCCTAGCCTCATCAGTCAGACAACAAAAAGAAATAAAAGGCATCAGAATCAGCAAAGAAGTCAAACTCTCACTCTTTGCAGATGACATGATACTCTAAGTGGAAAACCCAAAAGACTCCACCCCAAAATTGCTAGAACTCATATAGGAATTCAGTAAAGTATCAAGATATAAAATCAATGCACAGAAATCAGTTGCATTTGATGTGGATGGAACCAGAGGGTATTATGCTAAGCAAAATTAGTCAGAGTAAAACAATTATTTTATGATCTCACTGATATGTGTAATTTAAGAAGGCCGAGAATCATAGGGGAAGAGAGGAAAAAATGAAACAAGATGAAACCAGAGAGGAAGACAATCCATAAGAGAATTTTAACCACAGGAAACAAACTGAGGGTTGCTGGCTGGGGTGGGGGGTGGGGGGGTAGGGGGGTAGAGGGTGGGGGGTGGGGGCTGGGGAGTGCGGGGTGAAGGGATGGCAGGGATTAGTCATGGACATCAGGGACATCAGGGAGAGTATGTGTTGTAATGTGCACTGGGTATTATATAAGACTGATGAATCAAATCACAGACCTGTACGCCTGAAACAAATAATTTAAAAAGATGATAAAAAAATAAAAATAAGGAATGGATGGAAAATAAGATGGACATACTAATGCTTCAGCAAATCTTGACTTTAATCTGAACAAAATTTTCTCCCTTATTTTTGAGGCCTGCCCTCCCTTTCACTTGTTTTTCTGTAGAATCCTTTGTTCCAAAAACCTGGTATCCATGTTGATACTCAGTATCGAAACTTGGAAGGCCCAAGGCAGCGCTAGTCCTGAGACCACCTGGAAAACATATGCAACGCGAGGCCAACCCCTACCAGATTCCTGTCAAAACTGCCCAGATCCTGCAGTTTCCTATGAAACCCCTCAGCCTGTTGGCCTGGGCAGGCTGGCAGTCTTTTTTTTTTTTTTTTTTTTTAAGATTTTATTTATTTGACAAAGAAAGATCACAAGTAGTGATAGAGGAGGAAGCAGGTTCCCCACCTAGCGGAGAGCTCGATCCCAGAACCTTGAGATCATGACCCAAGCCGAAGGCAGAGGCTTAACCCACTGAGCCACCCAGGCAGCCCCAGGCTGGCAGTCTTAAGGCATTAGTCTGCTGCACCCTCCTTCGCCTGGCAAAGAAATAAACTATCTTCCTTCTTTATACCCAAGCTCTGTCTTTGCCTTACATATTTCGGCCCCAGAGCACAAGAGGTCAATTTGGGACAACACTTCGAAGGGAAGGCAATCCTAGAACAACCTATCTCCGGGCCTCAGATTTCATAAGGGGTGGGTTATAGAAGGCGGTGGCAGTGGTTGTTAAAACTGTAGCAAGTCTGCGGATTCTCCGGCTACAAACTTTCTAGGAGATAACCTAGGAGATGCTTTCCTAAGAACTTCAGAAAGCGACCCAAGAGGTTTGGTACAAGATAGCAGAAATAGAAAAGTAGTCTGAGGAGCAGATTTTAAGAAGAGGGAAGAATTTTCAAAATTTCTGTTTGGTCCTCAATCTGTTTTGACGCTTCCCTTTCCCAGTCAGAGACCAACCTCACGACACTCACTGGTGTCCGCAGTGAAAAGGACTGTAACGTAAGGGGAGGGCCCTTCGCCCTGCGGGAAAGGCGCAGGGCGGGGCGGGCGGGGCGGACAGGACCCGGAAGTCCCGCCCAGCCGAACGTCAGCTGTGTCGGCCCTTGGGCGGTTCTCTGGGTGGGAGGGGCCGTTTGGTTGGGCAGTTGTGACGTCACTGGCCCTTGTCGGGTTGCTACGGCGCCGCTGCCAAG